GAGCCGATGCTGATGAACTTGAAGAATTCTACCAACTTCTTCAGTCTGAAATTAATGAAATTTGCAATCAAGATGCGTTGGTAATTACTGGTGATTGAAATATGAAAGTTGGAAACAAAGAGGAAAGATCAGTAGTTGGAAAATATGATCTTGATGATAGAAGTTATGCTGAAGACCACATGATAGAATATTGTAAGAACTTTTTTCATTGTAAATATATTTTTTCAACAATATAAATGGCAGCTGTGCATGTGGACCTCACCAAACAGAATATACAGGAATCAAAGTGACTACATATATAGGAAGAGACAATGGAGAAGCTCAAAACAAAGCCAGGGGTCAACTGTAAAATAGACCATCAATTGCTTATATACAAGTTCAGGCTGAAATAGAAGAAAATTAAAACAATTCACTAAGAGCCAAAATATGACCTTGAACACCTCCTATCTGAATTTCAAGATCTCAAGAACAGATTTGATGCACTAGACATGAATGACCAAAGACCAGAAGAATTGTGGGATTACATCAAGAATATCATGTTACTAAAAACAAAAGGTCACTAAAAAGACAGGAAAGAAAGAGAAGGCCAAAATAGATGTCAGAAGAAACTCTGAAACTTGCTCTTGAATGTAGAGAAGCTAAAGTTACCAGATGAAGTAAAATGAAAGTCTCAAAAGGCAGCTTGAGAAAACAAAGTAAATGTGCAAAGGCCCAGAGTCAGAAAACCAAAATCACACATACTCAGCTTTTCTCAAGGTGGAAGAACTGAAGAAACAATTACAGCCTTAAGTTGTGACATTGAAGGATTGGCGCTGCAGGTTAATGCACTGGACTGCAAGATTGGTTTGAACTGCAAGGTTGGTGGTTCAAGCTCACCAGCCACTCCTCGGAAACTCTATACAGGGTTGCTATGAGTTGGAACTGACTCGATGGTACTTAACAACAACAACAATGGGCAGAATATCGAATGACTTAGGAAGCGTCAAAAGAAGATGTAAGGAATACAGTTAGTGTTCCAAAAACAACTGGTTAATGTTCAATCATGTCAAGAGGTGCATATGATCAAGAACTGATGGTATTGAATGAAAAATATCCAAGGTGCACTGAAGGTATTGGCTAAAACCAAGGCTCCAGGAATAGACAGAATACAAATTGAAATGTTTCAACAAACTGATGCTGCACTGGAGGTGCTCACTCGTCTATGCCAAGAAATTTGGAAGATAACTACATGACCAATCGATTGGAAGATATTTGTATTTGTGTCCATTCCAAAGAAAGGTGACTCAACAGAATGTGGAAATCATTGAAAAATATCATTAATATTACATGCAAGTAAAAATTTGTTGAAGTTAATTTAAAAACAGTTGTAGCAGTACATCGACAGGGAACTGCCAGAAATTCAAGCTGGATTCACAAGAAGATGTGGAACGAGGGATACCATTGCTGATGTCAGATGGACCTTGGCTAAAAGCAGAGAATTCTAGAAAGATGGTTACTTGTGCTTTGTTGACTATGCAAAGACATTGAACTGTGTGGATCATAACAAAAATAGAGAAAACATTGTGAAGAATGGGAATTCCAGAACAGTTAATTGTGCTTACTAGGAACCTGGTCACAAACCACAAGGCAGTTGTTCCAACAGAACAAGGAAATACTATGTGGTTTAAAGTTGAGAAAGGTGTGCCTCAGGGCTGTATCCTTTTAATATACAAATTCAATCTGCTGAGCAAATAATCAGAGCAAAAATGAAGAAGATTGCGGCATCAGGATTGGAAGAAGACTCAATCACTTGTGATATGTAGATGATACCAACTTGCTTGCTGGATGTAAAGAGGACATGAAGTACTGATTGATGAAGACCCATGACTTCAGGCTTCAGTATGGATTACACCTCAATGTAAAGCAAGCAAAAATCCTCATAACTGGACCAATATATAACTTCATGATAAGTGGAGAAAAGATTGAAGTTTCTGAAGATTTCCTTTTTACTTGGCTCTACAATTAACACTCATGGAAACATCAGTCAAGAAATCAAAGGATGTATTGCACAGGGCAAATATGCTGCAAGATAACTTTTAAGTATTCAAGAGCAAAGATATTAATTTGAGGACTAACGTGTGACTTAACCAAACCATTCACCTCATGTGCATGTGAAAACTGGACCAGGAATAACGAAGACTGGAGAAGAATCGATGCATTTGAATTATGACTTTGGAAAAGAATATTGAAAGTGCCATGAACTTCCAGAAGAATGAACAAATCTGTTTTGAAAGGAGTATTGCAGAATTGTGCGTTAGAAGTGAGGATGGTGAAACTTTGTCTCTTTTGCTTTGGACCTGTTGTCAGGAAGGACCAGTCCTTGGAGAAGGACCTCATGCTTGGTAAAGTAGAGGGTCAGTGAAAAAGAGATAGGCCCCCCCCCCCCCCAGGGAGATGAATTGACACAGTGGCATCAACAGTGGGTTCAGACAAAGCAATCGTGAGGATGGTGCTGAACTGGGCAGTGTTTCCTTCTGTTGTATATAAGGTTGCTATGAGTCATAACTGACTTGAAAGCACCTAATGAATGAGTAGCCATTTGAAAAACAAAAAACAAACATAAATTGAAGACTAATATTTCAATTTAATTCTTAAATAACCACACTTATCTCAAAATTTGCAATCAGGCTAAATATCACCACCTTTATTTCCTGTTCCATGTTGATTTTTTATCTTATTTAAGTTTTTATTGTGAATTGAGTGATAGTTTACATGGGAGAACATCAGTTTTACACTAATCGTTTCATTGCAGTGATTACAATCTCCTCTGTGCATCATCATTCCACAGTATCTACTTCTATTCCCTCTGTGCGTGGTTTTTTTGTTTTTGTTTTTTTGGTGGTGGTGGTGGGATGTACATAAAAACACTCAGGAATATATAATAATTTAAACAACCCAAGAGCATATTCTGCAAGTCTGCCTCCTGGCCACCAGCACACAACCTTTCTCTTTCCATGAGTCTAGAGTCCTCAGCTGTTCTGTCTCTCCATGACATCATCTCTGCCTCCATCTCTGGTGTTGCAGTTTCTTTGGATAGGGTCCCACATTCCGCTTGTGCTCTTCTCCCTTGACGGTCCTAGGGTCCTCTGTTTCTGGACTGTAAGATTAACTACTCCCCTCTTTTTTGTTACAAAACTTCTACCTTTACAATTGCCATGTTGATTTTTATACCATATTTACTTTATACCCTCTCAAACAAAAAGAAAGAATGAAAACAAACTCACTGCTATCAGTGCAATTCAGACTCATAGTGTCCCTGTGTAAGGTTCCCAAGGTTATAAATCTTTGCAGAAGCAGAATCATCTTTCTCCCAAGGAGTGGCTGGTGGTTTGAATTGCCGACCTGGCACTCAGCAGTCCACTGCTTATCCTTCAAAAATCCTAGTTTTAAAAGATATGGTGCCATCAAAAAGAGCACAGGAGATTTACTGTTGTACTTGTAAGCTACTCAGGCTAGTAGCATGTGTGGTGTGGTGTTGACAGATGGCAAGAATCACTATGTTTTCCTCACAATTGTAAGCATCCCAAGTTGCCCCTTTGGGTTCATTGTGGGTATCGATTACATAGTTTGGGAACTCTTGAGCTAGGATTTAATCATGTGGCTACAGGTAGCTGCAGAGGGAGACTGGGAAACATCTTTAATGTTTATGGGTTGGCTACACTCTGTTGTCCTAGTGTGATGCTGTGGGATAATGCGCTGAACTGCAAACTTGGTTTGAACCGCAAAACTGGCAGTTCAAGCTAACCAGCTGCTCCTCAGAAACCGTATACAGGGTTGCTATGGGCTGGAACAGACTTGACAACACTTAACAACAACAACAATACTCTGTTGAGTTAAATACAGAGTTTTATATTTTTATTCACATAGGGATACTTTATACCCTTATTAATACATTTTTGAAGGATAGCTGATTATTGCTTCCTTGCAATAATGACTATAATAATGTTCACCATTTATCAAGCACTTACTATGTCATAGGCACTCAGTAGGTGTTTTTCATGTTTTCTCACCTTAATCCTCACAATACTTTTTGAGGTAGGTATAAGTGTTATTGGAATCCTGGTGGAGTGTTATAGGATAGCACTGGACTGCTAACCTAAAGGTCAGTGGTTCAAACCCACCACCTACTTTTCAGAAATCCTGTACAGGGTTGCTGTGAGTCAGAACTGATTCAACAGTACTTAACAACAACTAGTAGTATTATGCTATCTATTTCTGTGTCTATCTATCTGTCTGTCTCTATCTCTGTATCAACACTCCTACTTGGAGGGGTTAAGTGTCTTGTCCCAAACCCCACATCAATTAACAGGGAAAACAGGATTTGAAATAGCTGGTGTGATTTTAGAGCGCACTCTCAACCACCATGCTGTTTTCTGATTTACTGCTATTGACAAGGAGTCCTGATATGGCATGATGGGTTAATATGCTGGACTGCAAGGTCCGTTTGAATAGCAAGGGCAGCGGTTCAAGGTCACCAGTCACTCCTCGGAAACCCTATACAGGGTCACTATGGGTCGGAACTGACTCGATAGCACTTAACAGGTTACAAACACAAAGAGCAATACTATGTATTGATGTTGGCAATATTTCCTTTTGGCCCAGGATTGGGCAGTATTTTATTCTGCTATGCATAAGGTCGCTGTGAATCAGTACCGACTCGATGGCATGTAACAACAACAACTACAACAAAATAATTTGTAGTCAGTATAACTTTTTTTATAGTAAAGGGATTCAAAGGATTTGAAAACTAAGTTCTCACACTGCCACTAAGGAGTCATGAAGGAGAACAGAAACTTGTTCAGGGTAGTTCAGTGTCAATATCAGCCACAAACCAGCCTGAGATAAAAAAGGGGAAGGTCAATGTTACATTCTATAATTTGATGTTAGTGCAAGTCCCTTACTTACACGGACATGATGTAAGAATGTCTGCTAACATCTTGACCACCCATTTTATGTTACAGGAGGCCATGGGAGAGATGGTGCCCCCATCATCACTTTCCCAGAGTTTGCGGGGTTCAAACACATACCAAATGAGGACTTCCTGAATGTCATGACCTACCTGACTAGCATTCCCAGGTGAGCTGAAACCAGTGCCCAATTGCCTTTAGCCCAAGTTTTCACTGGATTTCTTCCACATTTCTCATGTGGTAGAGCTGGAGAGTTAGATGAATCTTCCATGAGCGCATTTCACACAGGTATGTAGCGTGGGCAGTTTCTCTTATTCATAAGTCATGAACAAGGAATATGGTGCTTATCCTACAGTTTTAATAATAGTTCGTGATCCTGGTAACTCTGTAGGATAAGCACTGAAAAGTCAGTAGTTCAAGCCTACCAGTTACTCTGAGGGAGAAAGACGAGATTTTCTGCTCCTGAAAGATTTATAACCTTGGAAATGGTGTACAGAATTGCTATGAGTCAGAATTGACTCAAGGGAAATGGGTTTTTTTTGGTTTTGGTTTTTGGAAAGAAAAGATATTTGTTGTAGGGTGGGAAGGGACATATACAGAGAGAGGAGTCCCCACCATTCTTGCCTATCCCTCCCTACTTGGTGCAATTGCAGTTCAGATAAGCAAATTCTCCTTCCATGAGGAGCAACAAGGAAGACGGTGAGCGGGAAGATAGTACTGTTTAGTACTGCTCCCTCCTGTGATGGTTTACTCAATCCTGGGTGTATAGTTGCATGGTACTTTAATGGTGATTCTCATCTTGCATTTACATCCTTTTCTGAACACACTGGGGATGCCACATTGAGTGCCATCTGAAGCAGGTAGAGGAAATGGCAAGGGTTACATCTCCTACTTACTGATGTAGACAGTAGATAATGCAAGGGACTACTGTTTTGCCCTGTTTTCTTTTTTATGTTTCTTGTAAGCTAGGGAGCATTTTTCTTTCCTAGAATGCAATTTGTCTCTTGAAAAAAGAGTAGCCCTCTGACCAGCTTTTCCCCTTTCCTCTTCCTGGCTTTTGATTACACCAACTTGCTGCCCCACCTCGTGTTCCTTTCAACATAAAGCAGAGACAAAGAGCAAGGCTTGAATGAGGAATTTAATCTGCAAAGAATGAAACCACCCTTGCTCATTTTATGACTCCTATTTATCACAGTTGGCATCTTCCAGAAAGCTTCAGTGGTTTCCAGGTACCAGAGCCCTCCTGAGGTTGCCAAATGTTTTATAGGCAGTTAGTTAGCAGAGGTCTCATGACATAGGACAAAAAGCAATGGCTATAATAGAGGAAAATGACAGGATATTCAGGGCGGGGAAGGGATATCTCTGTGCTTGAAATTAATAAGAATTTCCCATTGTGACTGGGGTTATGTGAGTACACAAACGACTCATTCCTCATCGTGTCTTTGCTGAACACCTGCAGTGTATAGGTGTTATTGTTGTTAGTTACCAGTGGCAAACTTATGTACATCAGACAAAAAGCATTGCCTGGTTCTGTGCCATCTTCACATTAAGTCCACTGTTGCAGCCACCATATGACTCTATCTCATGATGGGTTCCCCTTGTTTTTGCTGACCCTCCATATCACATTATGGTGTTGTTGACAGTATTGAAAGTGCCATGGACTTTCAGGAGAACAAACAAATCTGTCTTGGAGAAAGTACAGCCAAAATGCTCCTTCAAAGGGAAGATGGGAAGACTTTATCTCACATACTTTGGACATGTTATCAGGAGGGACCAGTCCCTAGAAAAAGGCATCATGTGCAGTAGAGGGTCAGGGTAAAGGAGCAAGACCCTCCAATGAAATGATTGACACAGTGACTGTAACAAGGGGCTCAAACATAACAATTGTGAGGATGTCGCAGGATGTTTTATTCTGTAGTGCACAGGGTTGGTGTGAATCAGAACTGACTCAACGGCACCTAACAACAACAATAAACACTTCACCAAGCATGATGTCCTTTCTAGTGAGTTTGATGTTAAAAAGGATTGAGAAGATCTTAAGACAATGTGCTCAGCATTAGGAAATGCATGATGTGACTGTTGCCAATGATTTTTTTTGTGTGTGAAATGTGTATACAAAAGGCTATAGGAGCTCAGAAGAGAGAACTATCACTTTAAACAGGAATAGCTGGGAAGTTTCTGGAGTGAAGGGTCTTGAAAGATGAGTAAGATTTCCATAGGTAAACATGGAGAGGGATAATGTGGAGAGAGAAAACAATGATGTGTCAGAGCTTTGTTGTTGTTGTTATGAGCCATGGACTCGGTTCCAACTCGTAGCCACCCTGTACAGGGTTTCCAAGACTGTAAATCTTTACGGGAGCAGAAAGCCTCATCTTTCTCCCGCGGAACAGCTAGGAGTTTCAAACTGCTGACCGTAAGATTAGCAGCCCAATTGGTAACCACTACGCTGCCAGAGCTCCTTGGACAGAGCCTAATCCCAATCTTGAATCTCACATACCACTACTCACTAGCTGGGTGATTGGGGGCAGTGTCTTGGCTTTCATTTCTGCCTCACTTGGGTTTGATGTTTTAAACAGGGCCAATTTGGGGAATTACAGTCATCCAGTTTCAAATTCCTCTACATCCTGAGCATGGTCATTTAGTACTCTTATTTCTCTACTTAACTTCCTTGTTTTATTTTCAGTTCTGGGTTCAGTGTTAGAAAGAGGTTGAAGAAAGTATTTTTATCAGATGATACAAGAGTCTTACTTCATTTAAAAAAACAAAAACAAGCGTTGCCATTGATACAATTCCAAATCAAGATGACCCCATGTGCTTCATAGTAGAGCCGCTCCCTAGGGTTTTCTTGGCTGTAATCTTTTTTTTTTTTTTTTTTTTAAGGTTTTTATTGTGGATTGAGTGAAAGTTTTCAGGGCACATCGTCGGTTTCACATTCAATCATTCTTATACCTTGTTTCATTACATTGATTATAATCCCCTCTACATACCATCAGTTAACAGAGTTTCTCTCTATCC